AGGCATTGGCAGCCTGTTCCACAATAAACTGTACCGTACTGTAAAAAACTTACAACGCATTTGTTTTTGGTGTTTTACGGTAAGTAGTGTATATGCGTTGTTTCTAAGTCTATAGGCTGGGTCGTGGGTGATAGTCGGGCAGGAGGTTAGAAAGGAGAGCCCATATATCGCTTTGTAGAGAAATATTAAATTGTTTTTAGCCTACGGTGCCATAAAGGTTCTAAAGATAGATGCTTACATCTTCTGTGTAATCGAGATTCGAGTTACATCCTAGTAGTTGACGTGTGAAACGTCTTTGAACATCTACTCTTATCTTGTCTGCGATATTCATATTAGAGAAGACAAAAGAGCAGTATTCAAGGGAGGGTCGTACACATATTTTGTAGAGAGTAAGTTTACCCTCTGTTGTGAAAAAGTTTTTCATTATAAAACCAATTAGCCGTCTAGATTTAGAAATAATAGAGGAGGCATGTTCTTCAAAGTTTAGGCTTCCTGTGTAATTAATTCCTAAATCGTGTACTGATTCGAGTGTTTGGACTCTACATTCATTTAAGTGAAGTCGCGGTTTATAGGGATGCTTTCCAAAGTGCATGATCCCGCACTTGTTGAGGTTAAATGGTAATTGCCATTTTTCACTCCATATAGTTAAGTTATTGAGGTCCTTTTGGATCTGGGATACACTTTCGCTTAGTGTCTCAGGCTTATAGCTGTATACTATTTTGAGATCATCAGCATATAAGTATGGTTTCCCAAATTCTATGGTGTTACATATATCGTTTATATACATAAGAAACAAAAGTGGACCTAATACGCTTCCCTGGATGACTCCACTGGTGATTGGTCTAGGGGACGAGAGACAGTCATTGTACTTTACCATCTGTTTACGTTCTGTTAAGAACGAAGCAAACCATGAGTACAGTGGGTTGTGTATTCCGAAGGACTTTAGTTTGACGAGTAGCCTTTTGTGTGGGACCTTATCAAAGGCTTTCTTAAAGTCTAGGAATAGGACTGATACAAGGAGTCCGCTGTCTCGTTTCAGAGTTATATCATTCAGGTAGTCTACTAGGCATGTATCGCATGATCTGGACCTAAGAAATCCATGCTGGGAGGTCGAGATGAGATTATTAGTTAGTAGATGTTGGACTACAGCCGCCTTAACTACTTTTTCCATCACTCTGGATACCACTGAAGTTATGTTTATAGGCCGGTAATTTTCAACGTTTGCTTCAGGTCCTGTTTTAATTTTGGGAATGATATGTGTAGTTTTCCAGGCAGTAGGGTAACACGCTGAAGAGAGTGATATCGCGAATAGTTTGAGAAGCAAAACACACATATCATCACCTCCACGTTTTAGCATGCTAGATGGGATACCATCTGGTCCATCAGTGTAGGAGTGTTTCAATGTACTGATTGCCTTGGAGATATTTTGTACACTGAATTCTACATTAGTAATTTCACAGGGAGTTACTGGGATTGGTTCTGAATCATTAAATGGTTTTTCGTTAGTTAGTGAGAAACAAAAATGTTCACTAAATAATTCTGTGATAAGTTTGGGATCTTCGTATACTTGTTTGCCTTTAATGAATATACTCCCTCTCGATTTAGAGCGTTTAAGTTTATTTTGGAGTAGTATGGTGAGTGCAGAGGAGTTATTATTAAGTTCAACTGCACGTTTTTCCTGTGCTACTGCTTTTTGTTTACTTATTGCCTCTGTTCGGACAAGTATTTCTGTCATCGTTACTAAAGAGGAAAAGTCATTTAAGTTGTGGAATCGAGTACAATGTCTTTGAAGACGTCTTCTTGTACTGACCGGTATATAGAGATCTTTGGAAAACGTAGGTTTACAGTATTCTAAAGGTGCGATGTTGTTGATGATACTTTTGATGTTGTGATAAAATATATTGGTTAATGTGTCGGTATTGTTTGAGGTAAAGAAAGTTCTCCAATCAGTGCTTCTTAGGTAATTGTGGAAGTTATTCCAATCAACCTTGCGATAGTTTCTACGAAGTGTTACGGTTTTACTTCTATCGGTTGTGGTTTTTACATTAAGGCTGCATATGACAATGTTATGATCACTACCTGGGAACTTTTTTCCAATATACAAAGTATTGGGGATGAGGCCACTGGTAAAGACTAAGTCTAAGATGTTTTGATGTCTGGTAGGGCTATCGACATACTGAGTCCATTGTCCAAGCTCTAGACATTCAATAAATGATTCATAACGTCTCGGCGCTTTGACTGGCAGCCAAGAAATTTCGGGCATATTGAAGTCACCACAAATGAGCTTGCCTGTGAATGAGAGGGATGATGCTAGTGTGAATACCTCCGATAATACTGCTATTTCATCTATTGATGCGTTAGGTTGACGATAAACACAGCCGAGCAGTAAGGTAACGGAATTCGACGGCTTTAATACAATCCACACCGAATCCTTCAGTTTGTTTAGTTCAGGCATATCACATAGCAGTGAGTTTAGGCTAGAGTGAGCGTAAATAAGGCATCCTCCGCCTCGTCCATTCAATCTATCGCTTCTATATAGGGAATAGTTATCAAGAGATATACTTCGGTCGGAAATATTACTGTTAGTCCATGCTTCAGATATCATAATAACTGATGGTTGATATATGGATACAAACAGGGCTAAATCCGTCTTTTTGTTGCAGATCGATCGAGCGTTGATAAGACATATATTAAGTAAGTGGCCTACTAAGTTAAAATGGGTGAGGGTATCTCGGATAAAGTCGTCGTAACCCTCGCGTGTGTGAGATGAGTTTGATGTGAGGGATTGGATGTTCTTCATTAGCTCGGTATTTTGATAGCTAGACTTAGTGGGAGATGTATCAAATGAGCTAGTGAAGTTGATTGGTCAGTTTACCCAGGAGGAAATATATATATATATGTATATATATATATATATATAAGCATATGAAAATTGATTTTTTATATTATATATAATGACATGGAAAATCGAGATGAAGCAAAATGTTAACTGGTGTCTTACGTGTAATAGTCGTTTAAATGTTCTGGAAATCTTACTCTTCTTCCAGAACGCGTTGTTTTAAGTTTATTTCCAGATACTGTCGAAGCCTCATCGTGCGTGTTGGCTGTTGGCTGAGGTATTATAAGTGTCGGAGTCGTGTCGTTCGATTGTACCGAAGGAAAATCGACGTAGATAGGATTTCCCTCTGAATACGCTGCTTCGAGGCGATCGATGCTGATGCTATCGTTGGTTTCGTTCTTATCGATTATACAGTACTTGGGTTCGCGTTGAAGAACTTTGAAAAGTCATTCGTATGCTGATTCGAAAAATCGTCGATGCGAGTCTCGACGTACGAAGGCGTGTGTACTATATCGTAAGTCAGGTAGAACGAAAACTTCACGTGATTGAGGTCCTGTGGAAACAGGTATAACTAAACGCATTGGATTTGCAAGCCTGTTCGTGTAGGAGGTTAGATCCATGTTCATTGAAAAAGATGAAGGATCCGCGAATACTCCTGGAAGTCGAAGTGTCGTTCCATAAACGAGTTGAGCCGCAGTGTATCCAATGTCAGCCTTCATTGTAGTGCGGATACCTAGTAAGACGAAAGGAAGAGTGTCGGTCCACTGTGAAACGTGTGCAGCTGATAGCAAAGCTTTCAGTTGTCGGTGAAAATGTTCTACCAACCCAGTTGCCTGTGGGTGGTAGGCAGTCGTTCGAAAGCGAGTGGTTCATAAAGTGTGGTCAGACAACGGAAAAGTTCGGATTTGAACTGATGTCCGCGGTCTGCAGTGATGGTTGAAGGGCAACCGAAGTTTGCTACCCATCGTTCGACGAAGGTGCGGGCCACTGTTTCAGCAGTGATGTCCTTGATAAGTACTGCTTTCACCATCGAGTGAAACGGTCTACGCAGGTTAAGAGATAAGAGCATCCATTTGAATCTAGTGAAGGTCCTGCCAAACCCAGATGAACATGGTCGAAACGAGCATCGGGAGTTTTAATTGAGCCTAAGGGACATTTATTGTGTTTGATAACCTTAGATTTTTGGCGGCTTACACAGGAGGGTGTCCACTCTCTCACGCCTTTATTCATACCAGGCCAGCAAAACCGTTCTGCTATAAGTTTGATGGTTGCACGAACACCTGGATGAGAAAGTCTGTGCAACGTATTGAAGACGTTGCGTCGATAATGTTTCGGCACAATTGGGCGATCCCTACTTGTAGATGTGTCACAAAGTAAGGTTCAACCAGTAACACATTCTAATATGAAGCGTACCCACCGAGTAAAATCAAAAGACAGAAGCGAGGAGGTTCGAAGATATACTTGATATGCTATCAATATATCGAGGATCGTCTAATCTAATCTGGCTAGCGATTGCAGAACATGTTGAGCACGGCGTTCCCATTCGTGATCTGGTGCGGATGCATGACCGAGAGCCTTCAGCTAGGTGAGTCCATTGAAACTAATGTGGTCAGCATCCAACGTCGAAAACTTACAGAGCTATTTATTTCGGGGATTTATTTGCCGCTTTACTGGGTTCAAATCCCTCGATGCGGGGTCGTGGATGCACACTGCGGAGGAGTCCCACAATAAGAAGAAACGGATGTTCAGTGTTTTCAGGGTTTCCATAGTTGTCTAGTTTGAAGTGGCTCATGATCTTAACAATTGAAATTTTTATAATCTCCACAAAACTGCCTTCTGACACTCTCAATAATTGGAGACGACGGGTAAATATAAATAGAGCTGTATCAACGATGGAATCTGTAAAACCTGAAGTTCACCAAGGCACAATCTTCCTTCTTTATTTTGATTTCATGTAAATAACTTATGAACTGTAAGTCATCTGTTCTATTCTCTCTAGATTTATAAACAATTGGAGACCATACGCAGAGTTATATTTCAAAGACTAATATGTCATTCGAGCTCCTCTCCTTACCCGTGAAAATTGGAAAAAGACCCTTAATCGAACTGGAATAATAAAAAGCTAGCTCAAAGAAATCTACCGGTAATTTCAGGCTTATCACGAGGATATTGGATATTGTTTAAGACCCGGGTAAAAACGTTTGTAACGTTACTTCGTAATTAGCTAACGAGACACTCGTCCTTTGTCTTTACAGGTAAGATTATGTTTTTACTGAAAGTCCCAGAAACTACTGGAAGGCTCATTTAATGTTCAAGATGCTTTCGAGTGTGAAAAAATTAAATGCTGATATCACTCACTCGAAGTTTGTACAGCGTTCACTCTAACAAATTGAAGAGCACACGCAATTTTTTCCCTCGTTACCGTTTTCCAAGAGACAAAGCCTCTTTGATGGTGCTTGGGGAGAATATATTAGGCTTATGGGTTACCGTGAAAGCGAAGTATATCTGAGTGCTCACTTTTATAGTGTGCTTTTATGCTACGTAGGCCAACTCATCATAAACAAAAATATTGCTTCTTTTCACTAATCAAATTATCAGTTTCGTCTCGATGTAACGGTTTTTACATTTTCTAGATAGGAGTCCCAAGTTTTTAGTTAAGCTCAGACATGAGAATGACTTCGGGTTAATAAAAGATCTACTTAGCCAGCTACTCCTTCAATATATCTCTTGGGTCACCTTGCTAAATGTTCATAGACTAGGTAGTCAAGTGGGCTTGAAAAAATGTAGGCAAAGTGGTATTTAAATCTAATGAAAGAGACTTAGTGCTCTATGGTGGACATGAAATAAAGAGATGAGTATTGTCCGTAAAGAATTGCCGCTTGCTGACCATATAGAAAGATAAGGTGAAAAAACAAGGTTTGGTAGTGGTGGTAGGGAAAACCTGATAATTTCACATTCGGGTGGTGAGGCTCCGACAGATAATGACGACGAAGCCACTTAAGGTGCATCATGAAGCCATTTAAATCGTCTTCGGTTCTATTACGCAAATACCTGTATCTTGCTCAACTACCTATTGGATATTGTTGTTGTTGTTCATTAAGGTGGTTCACACCCTTCTCCGTGAGGGGAAAAGAATGCAAGAGATTTAACTTACTGAGTACCGATGAGACAAGACCTCAATATCGGGAAGGCCGAAATACTTGATCCTCGATCCTCCGAAAGTCTAGAAGATTTTGTGAAGAAAAGCTTATATTCATAGATAAACCAAAGGACTAGTGGAAGGGGCAGCATTATGGGGAAACAGTACTACATCATTAGTATAGGACGATTATGGTAGATCTTAGGTATTCCTAAATTACCTTGACACCCGGGCAGTATCACAGCCCTCACACATATCGAATGAGATTTGTGTGGCGCATATTTATTTGGTGCCTCTATCTATGTGTAGAAATAAATAAATAATAATAAAACCTTGGCGATGCATATACCGAAGAGATGTCCTCCCCTTCGGTTCGTACAAATCTCTCTATACACACCCCAACCGTTGTTGCTACCTTGACGTGGTAGTCGGGCTTGCCTATCGTGATGAAGCAACCGAGCTATACTGGCTGGAACAACTGTTCCTCAAGGTCCTACCATGTCAGACAGATCGGTTGAAGAGCGGTAAGACTAAAAGCAACAAACCCAAGGTCCGAAGGCGAAGTCGTTCTGCTGACTGTACAGAGGTGTGACACCAATAAGATGTTTCCTTCAGACAACTAGCATGACAGCGATGCTTCCTTCCCACAAGGAGGGGTGGGGTTAGAAAAGGTCGACCCTAAAAATGCACACCTCGTCTTATCCAACGGATATCCGTTTCCGGCGGCAAGGTCTCAACAAGTACGGAGCTAACACAAAATTACCCATTAAAAGGTCGTGTGTGACCGACCTCAAGCAGTTGTCCCTTGGACACTGCGGTCGCGCTCTCAGGTCACTGAGACCACCTCTAATCCAATTTCCTTTTCAGGTACCTCCAGAAGAACCCTTCCTCGGTGTGGGCAACCGGGAAGTGATAACCGCCCTCATACCTCTAACAGCACCCAAGACCACTGTATTCATAATCAACCTTCCTCTTCAATTACTATTATTCCTCCTACATCGACTTTCAACCCTAAACTTCCTCTTTCGGCTTCCTCCTCAAGTGTCACCATAGCCAACGATTCTAGTGCACAAAACACTCCCAGGTCTACTGAAACCTCGCTCCAAACTACACATTGGAGCCTTCAACGTACGCACCCTATGTCAAATCGGTCAGCAGGCTTCTTTGGCTAAAACCCTAGAGTCTCTTTCCATTGATGTATGCTGTGTCTCCGAAACACGCATACAGGATTCCAGTGTGGTCATTCACTTGACCTCACCTCGGCAACACGGAGAGCCAACGAGATACACCCTCCGTGTATCTGGTGACCCGATGGCCAGTTCTCGTGGACTGGCAGGTGTAGGCATAGCACTAAGCATGAGGGCGGAACAAGCACTGCTAGAGTGGATCCCCGTCAACAGTCGTCTATGTCCTGTTCGGCTAAACGGTTCCGTAAGAACTCGGAAGGATAGGGACACACGTCTTTGCCTTTTTGTCGTTTCTGCCTACGCTCCCACTGACTGCAGCTCGGATGACATTTGCAGAAGGCTCTCTGAACTTCTTCAGAAAGCTAAACGCTCAGACATAGTACTCGTAGGGAGTGACTTTAATGCACAGATAGGTAGTTTAAACCAAACAGAAAGGCGTTTAGGTGGGTATTTTGGTATTCCGGCACAACGAACAGATAATGGTGACCGTCTGTTGAAACTGTGCTCAGACAATCGCTTATTTTTAGCAAACACAAACTTTAAACATAAGGAGAGACATCGTCTAACATGGCGACCCCCTACACCAAACCAACGATGGACTCAAATAGACCATATTGCCATCAGTCATCGTTGGAGAGGGTCGGTAGAAGATTGTCGTTCATTCTGGAGTACCTGCTTGGACTCCGACCATGCCCTAATACGGGCACGCATCTGCTTGCGCCTCACTGGACGCAAAAAAGCCACATTAAAAAGACCCATTAGAACTGAGTTGAGTAACGAGAAAACCAAAAGTAGGTTCCAGGAGCAACTGAGGTCACAATTAGTTAGTTCTAAAAACAAGGCTGACCCAGATGTTGCTTGGAAAGCTATACAAACAGCTGTGGAAACAGCAGTGAGATCTACCAGTGATTTAAACCACAGGGTTACAAAGAACCAATGGATTTCCTCAAGGTCTATTGCACTGATGGATTCTCGTAAACTCATCCCATCAGGCTCTGAACACGATGAAGAGCGACAACACATCAGATCTAGGTTAAGCAAAAGTCTAAGAAACGACCGTGAGCAGTGGTGGGCAACGAAAGCAAAAGAGATGGAAAAGGCGGCGACTATAGGGAACACAAAACAGTTTTACAGACTAATAAAAGAAACTGGAATTAATAAGTCAAGTGTAAGTGAGATTATATCGGAAAAAGACGATACTCTCATCTGCTCTCAGTCCAGACGTTTAGAACGATGGGCGGAACATTTTAGAGAACAGTTCAGCTGGCCTTCAGCTACTCTACAACTACCCTCCATTCCCAGACAGTGTGAATGGAACATTGACGTAGGTCCCCCAACTCTAGCAGAAGTTCAAAAGGCTATAGTTAATCTGAAACGAGGAAGGGCAGCTGGTCCAGATGGATTGGCTCCAGAAGTCTTTAAGGATGGTGGTCCAATTTTAGCGATTAGGTTGACTAATATTTTAGCTAAGATCTGGGAGTTAGACGTTATTCCATCTGACTGGTCGCAATCACTTATCGTCCCAATATATAAGAGAGGGTTAAAGTCATCCTGTGACAACCATAGAGGGATTAGTTTAACTAATATAGTATCCAAAATACTAGCCTCGATAATTATCAGACGCCTAACTAAGACTCGTGAACTGCAAACACGAGAGAACCAAGCTGGCTTCAGACCTGGTCGTGGCTTCATCGACCATATATTCACCATTCATCAGGTTCTAGAACATAGGCATACTTATCGGCGCCCGACAATGGTGGTCTTTCTTGACTTAAAAGCATCATTTGACTCGGTAGACCGCGAGATTCTGTGACAGTGTCTGTCATTGAAAGGCGTACCTCATAAGTACATAAACCTTGTAAAGGCTCTTTACTCGAACACTACCAGTCGAGTCAGAACTTATGGCGAACTGTCATCTGCTTTTACAACCTCAATTGGTGTCCGTCAAGGCTGTCCACTTTCTCCATTTTTGTTTAACTTCATCATAGACCTATTGATGGAAATAAAATTCTCGTCTACTGAATTCTCGGGTATTGATCTCCTTCCAGGAGGTCCATTTATCGACTTCGAATACGTAGATGATATAGTCCTGTTTGGTGAAGACGCTGATAAAATGCAGAGTCTTTTGGTAGCACTAAGCAACAATGCCAGAATGTTTGGAATGCGCTTCTCTCCCTCTAAATGCAAGCTGCTGCTTCAGGACTGGTCTGCGTCAACACCTGAACTAAGGATAGGGAGTGAAGTAGTCGAATGCGTTGACACCTTCACTTATCTTGGAGGTCTGATCAACCCTAATGGGTTGGTGTCTGACGAAATCTCAGCACGGATTCGAAAAGCTCGCTTGGCTTTTGCCAACTTACGTCACCTATGGCGAAGGCGAGATATCCGTCTATCAATAAAAGGACGAGTATACTGCGCGGCAGTCTGTTCTGTTTTAATTTACGGCAGCGAAACATGGCAATTAAGAGTAGAAGACACTCGTAAGCTACTAGTATTTGACCACAGATGCCTTAGAAATATTGCTGGCGTCTGCTGGGATCACCGAGTAAGTTATAGTGAGGTTAGACGCAGGGTATCAGGGAATCAGCAGCAAACACATGAATATTGGTACAAGAAAGCGCCAATATATATGCGCCACACAAAACAATGAGAATTCGAAGAGAAATAGAAAAAAAACTAAGGAGCGCAAAAGAAAAAGAGAACAATAAGGAAGAGATTGGTGTAAGGTAGTGTGGTAGTAACGAGGGAACGGAAAGGTACAATCAGAAGAAATCTTTCAGGTAAGGAGACACAACCACTTTTTATGAAGAAAGTAAAAGAAGGTTACAGCAGGATCGCCACTGGCTTCTATTCTGAGCCATATCTGATAACGTCTCTAGCCACTGTGTAGCACCATCTCTCGGACCCCAACCAGGGAGTCGTGAAGGAC